GCGAAATCTCTTACGCCTTCAGAGATCCATGCAGTAAACAGCAGGTTAGTCAACAAACACCAACCCCATCAGAGCATTTCAACTTATGCTAAACAGCCTGCACGTTTAAAGCCTAGATCTAAATCTAGTAATAATTATCAAAAATGTCATCGATGCAAAGGTCCCCATGCATCTCATCGATGCAAGTTCAAGCCTGCAACTTGTTATAAGTGCAGTAAGCAAGGTCACATTGCCAAGGCCTGCTTTGCAAAGTCTTCGTCTGTTGCTAAATCTAGCCAGTCAAGACAGTACCGCAACCAAAGGCAGCACTATGTTAACTCTCACCAAGACTACCTAACCCAACCAATGAACCACTCTACCTGTGAAAATGCTCAAACTGATTCGCAGCCGGATTTCAACCTGTTCTCTGTGAAATCAATAAGTCATGCTCCCATCAATGTACTAGTTAATATCAACGGTAAGAGCATCAGCTTCCAACTTGACACTGGAGCATCTCTAACAGTCATCACAAAGAAGGACTTTGACACTGTCACAGGAGGATCAGTGCCTCTACAACCATGTCACAAGTGTCTAACAACATACACTGGTGACAATGTTCCGGTAATAGGAGAGTGTATGGTTCATGTAAGTTATAATGGTCAAAGTGTTAAACTTCCTCTTCTTGTGGTTGAAGGAAATGGACCACCATTACTAGGTAGGAACTGGTTAAGTGATCTTAAGTTAAATTGGGAGAGTATATGTTCATTGAACAATGCAAGAGAATCTAGTCTTACATCAATAGATAAAGTTATATCTGAAAATGAAAGTGTTTTTGGCAATTCAGGTTTACTAAATGATAGAACAGTGAAGATAAGCATTAAAGACACAAATCCAAGATACTGCAAAGCTATAGTTCCACCTTATGCAATGAGGAATAAAATTGAAAATGAGCTAAGTAGATTGGAATCTAATGGCATCATAAAGAAGGTAGACTATTCCGATTGGGCAACGCCCATTGTGCCAGTGTTAAAGAAGGATGGTTCTATAAGAATTTGTGGAGACTACAAAGCCACACTGAATAAGCAAATAGAGCTAAATAGGTACCCTATTCCTAACATTGAGGAAATTTCTTTGAATTTGGCAGGAGGAGACAAATTCACTGAATTAGACTTTAGTCATGCTTACACTCAACTAGAACTGCATCCAGATTCAAAAGTCTATACGACAATAAACACACATAAAGGACTCTACCAATATGAAGGACTATGTTTTGGCATATTATCTAGCCCTGGAATTTTCCAAGCTGTCATGGACAGTATTTTTAAGGATATTCTAAATGTTTGTGTTTACTTTGACAATGTGTACATAACTGGTAAGAATGACACTGAACATCTTAAAACACTTGATAAAGTATTGAAAATAGTTGGTGAAAAAGGTTTAAAGATAAACAAAGATAAATGTCAATTCATGCTGACAGAAATTAGTTTTCTTGGTTATATATTAAGCAAGCAAGGCATCAGACCTCAACCTGAGAAAACAAAAGCCATTAAAGAAGCACCCAAACCTGAAAATACCCAAAAACTAAGAGCTTTTTTGGGCTTGATAAATTACTATGCAAAGTTCATAGGGAATCTGTCTGGTAAACTATCACCACTGTACAAGCTGCTACAGAAAAATGCAACTTGGCACTGGGATAAACAACAAGAAGCTGCTTTTAATACAGCAAAAGAAGCTTTGTCTTCTGACACCTTACTAACTCACTATGACCCAGGGAAAAGACTTATATTAACATGTGATGCTTCACCAGATGGTGTAGGAGCAGTCTTGTCCCACATGGATGAAAAGGGTGACAGACCCATTGCTTTTGCCAGTAGATCTTTGAACCAGGCTGAGAAAAATTATTCTCAGTTAGATAGGGAAGGCTTAGGCATCATTTTTGGTGTTAAGAAATTTCATAAGTTTCTGTTTGGTAGGAAGTTCACCATCTTTACAGATCATAAACCATTGCTAGGTTTATTTGGAGAAAACAAAACCCTACCTGAGCATGCCTCACCAAGAATTCAAAGATGGGCTATCACACTAGCCGCATACAATTATGAATTGAGATACAAACCTGGATCTGAGAATAGTGCAGATAGTCTTAGTAGATTACCTTTAAAAACCAAAGTCTTAGTTATGTACCAGAAGATGTATTTGTTCTCTTCACTATCATGGATAACTCCAATATAGATGTGAATGATATTAAAAGAGAAACACAAAAAGATGAGTGCTTAATAAAAGTATATGAGTACTGTAAGAATGGTTGGCCTGAAGAGTCTGTGAATGATGACTTAAAGCCATATAAAATAAGAAATAAAACCCTTTGTGAAGATAATATAAAAGATGGAGAAGATGCAGTCCATTATCAGTCAGAGTTGCCTAAACAAAGTACTTGTAACTTAATAAATGATTATGGTGATATGGCAATTTCAAATGCTTTTAAAGAGAATACATTAGTAAGAAGGAATGTGATCATCAAACAACTTTGCTAACATCATTAGCACTTACAGAAACTAAAAGAATCTAAAAGGGTAACATCAAAGGTAAATACCAAACAGAAGAAGCTAAATGTGACAATGAAAGAGTAAACAGGTTATTAGCCAAATACCGCACAACTCTTCATATAACAACAGATGTTGCACCATGCGAATTGCTATGTGGTAGGAAAATTAAAACTCACCTTGATCTACTACATCCAACTGTTCAAAGGTCTGTTTCCCAACATCAACATACACAAAAAGTAAATCATGACAAATCATCCATTGAAAGAGAATTTGGAGTTAATGATAATGTGTATCTAAGAAATTATGGGAGAAAGGAAAAATGGATACCAGGTCAAATTGTTCAATGTACAGGACCTGTGTCTTATAAAGTAAAAACAAATGATGGACTTATTGTCCGTAGACATGAAGACCAGTTAAAAATAACTTGTGCAGATAATAAGTGTGAATCTATCAATCCCACCAAATCTGATCAGTTCACACCAACTCAGTTTGTTCCACAACCAAGTTCTGTTGATATGAGTGAACTAAGTTGTCTAGAGTCAGAAAATGTAAATTCTGGAGTTAATGATTTAAATCCTAGACCTCCTGAGATAGAGAATCCAGATGGTCATAATCTTGAGTCACCAAATCAAAAGCCACTGAGAAGGTCAAGCAGGACAATCAAAGTCCCAAATGAGTTAGACCTATGCTTTTAAGGGTCAAAAGGACTTTGACATCATTGTTTTGTATCTTGATTATGTTGTAGCATATTGTGCATTGTTTGTAAGGATGTAATCTACCATAGTGTTCATGTTACAATATATTTGGTGATTATAGGATACTGTCAATTGTTCTATTGAGAGATGTGTTGTGTTTACTAAGGGTAAAGGGATGTAATAGATTGGGATTTGTGAGGTCAGGGGAACTCACTCTTCTTGTATTAGTTATATTTATAATGTTGTTATTGAGTGATGTCCCTTGTATTTATCTATTGTTACTTCCTGTTCCGGTCTGATTAGGTTAGCCGACAAGGCCCAATAAAATGTATATATAAACAGCATGGCTTCTCGTCAGTGTGTTATAATAGAACCACTCCAATCTACCTCACAATCATTAAAACAATCTTTTTTTTTGTAATTTTCAAACATAAATACAGCGCAATAGTAGCCTATATTTTGAGTACGATTGTTACTCGATTTTCTATCGAAACACATCTTAGACCTCAAACACAGCTAAAGTTGCCGACTTGACATGCTCAATCATCCTTGTCTGTGGTATTTCTGGTGTAGCAGCGGTTGCCGGACTGAACATGCTTTTGCTGGAAGCTTCCAATAGCTATTACAATGAGCCGCATAAACAAACAAAAGTCTAGTAATTCAGCACACAACTAGGGCCTACTAGTAATACTAGTATTATTTGAATTCTACTAGAATGTTATGACAAGTCTACACTACAGTGTAAAGTTCATCAATAGAAGTGAGCTCAATGTGTTTAGGATAGCCGTATTGGCCTACTGTTTTCTGTTTACTGATTAAAATTTACCATAGAGATCTATACTATATGCAGAGGTATGGACTATTACTAGTCAACGGGAATACATTACGTAAAAGCTAGGTATTGTAGACAAGACAGTTTATTGCAATAAATACAACTAACAAATTAAATCTTACTACTAAAACTAGGCTTTGGTAAGATAATGAAGTATACTAAATCTAGTAAACGAGTCTGCAACAGCTACCTTTATTCTTATTATTCTTCTACTACTAGAAATCAACATGTAATTACAATATTTCTTACGTAAACCATATGTTAACCATCTTATAAATGTGTAAATATCCTTTTTTGAGTATATTTCGATAATTAATTATCAAAATAATATGTATGTCACTCCACATAAAAATCTGCAGTTTCCTAGAAATCCTAACAAAAAATGACCGTGTGCCCTGACGGTACTTATAAGTCCACTTGTAAACATCGATCTAATACAGAGACAATTTGATTAAAATACAACAAGACATTGGAAATGGCGACACACCAGAAATTTTCCAAAAACACCGATCCCTCAAACTTCCGGCGACTCAGGGGAAATAATACTATTAATTACATCATTAATTATTTGAAACTCGTATTAAATTCAAAATAATACAGGCACTTAATTAAAGTGGTACTTGTAAGTACCGTTAGTAGATAAAGGGTTATATGCTTAGGGTTATTAGCTATTTAGTTATTTCTTTGCTTTGTCACTAATATAGTTGAATGTGTATTAAAGCACATTGTCTTTTGACCAATAACTATTTTATATAATATTTATCTACAACAAGTATAACATTTAAAAATATAAGCCTACAATTCACGAGTAGGCCTACTAATGGCTTGCTTTTTTTTAAAGCGTGCATTTTTGTATTATCCATAAAATTGGTGCGCATTTCACACATTTGCATTGGGTCTTCGAGTTCAAGATTAAAAACGGAAATAATAATTAAAAACGGAAATAATAGAACACAATTACATTATAAACATGAAGAGATAGGGAACAAGCAAACATGGCTCTGATTACATTAGCATTAGCATTCCTGTGTGTCTGGTCCATATCAGCACAAGGTAAGCTCATAATTTTGGTCTATAATTCTTTGACAAGAAATTACTACTGTTGACTTAGTTATACTGTATTTAAATCTAGATCTAGATCTAGTGTTGAACTTTCACAAGTAATGTCTACCAATGGGCACCAGCGAGTTGACAAGATTCCTTCCGTAATGTTGTTGACATGGAATAAAAATGTGCTTTTTTAGATTTAGGACCGTAAAAATAATAAAAGATAAAATTTTATTAAAAACTTAAGCCTAAAATTAATTCAGAAATTTAATACTTTTAGAATCAATGCTATACAAGTTGCAGATCCAGAGAACTTGAAAATAATTTGTTGAGTTTTAGGCTACATTTCTATTTATTTTCATCAAGCCTAAGTTATAACCCGATGTTTCACTTTCGTAAGACAAATATTGATTGGCTGTACAGGAACTCCGTGATCGATTTCTGGCAGCCCCACTTTATAGTTTTTTTGTTTACAAAACTTTGCAGATCAAGTTTTTAAATAATAATGCAAATATAAACCCCATGACCTATTTTTTTTCTATTTTTAGCTTACAATGTGTACAATAAAATTTATGGCGGCCTATCGAATAGCAGGATGTTTTTGCTTTTTTTTTAAATATTTATTTAGTTACCGAAAATATTAAAAACATCAAATACACCCAATCTTTAGTAAAGTCCAAAAAAAAACTAGACAGGCAGGATTTTATTACCATAATAAATTGTAACTACGCCGTGCAAGATTTTTAAATTAATTTATGGACCTCTCAAATACCTTTGAGACTTTTCTCGCTGATGTCCATTGGGCTAAGGCAAAGGATGAATTAATTGCATACAAAAAATGTCAAGAACTTACTTACATAATGTTCAACCTTTGCTTTTAACACAATCGCTTTTTAATTACAAAAATAATCTGAAAATATTTTTACAATTTTTATACAAATCAACATCATTTTGTAATTCTACTGAGGTTCAGCTACAAACTAGTGAAAAGGTATACAGTTAGAAAATGTATAGACATTCGTCCACTAAACCAGCAACACATTCAATTGAAGCAAATGTAAGCATTAAATTAGAATTAATATAATCGCCAGAAAATGCGCTAAATCCAATCAGTGCTTATCTGAAGAGACTTAAAAATGGTTCCATATGTTTGTTACCAGAAAGTATATTTTTTAAAAACAAAATTGAACATTTTACATTAGTGAAATAAGTAAAAAATGACTTCCGGTTTTATTAAAGCTTGACATATTCAAAAAAATACTTAACAGCAAAATAATAATACATAGAAAACACTTTTATTTTTAATTTTGACTAATAGAGTCAGTGAGTTGTAGTGACAGGGGTGATATATTATATTATATTATATAAATAAACCACTAGGCTAATTAATATCAACACTTACAATACTGTTTTAATATATGTCTAAGCAATCCAGATCAGACATTTTCAACCTATGATTATGCTATAGTCCGTAAACTATGTCAAGTTTTTTTTTCCTCACCCCCCCCCCCTCCCCTATTCAACTTCTACAAAAAAAAAGTCAGATCTGCCGCACATAAAGTTTACCTCATCCATCCACAACCCCACTTACCATACATATTGCTATTTTGTTTTTAAAATAGCGATTTTTTTTTTTAAAATATTTTAGTCCAATGTGCTCTGCCAACAATTTATGTAAGCCAATTGATAAATTATTTTATTGCAATTTATAGCATACGTTTAAATAACGACAAAAAGTTTAAATCCAATTTCTAAACATAACGGTTTGAAAATGCAAAGCAAAATCGTGTCATCGTACTTTCTTAATAAAGACTAAAAGCTTAAATCCAGTTTCAAAACATGACTGTTTAAAAATGTAAAGCATTCAGCCTTATGTCGCATTCGGGCAAGTGTCCATTGGGGCGTTTGTCGCATTCCGGAAAGTGTTCGTTGGTGCGGTTGTCGCATTCGGGCAAGTGACTATTGGGTATTTTTTCGCATTCGGGTAGGTGTCCTTTTTGGAAATCGGTCTTCAGGAAAACGGCATTCGCACTAGTGTCTTTCGGGAGTTTGTTGTAGACCCTATAACCCGTTAGAAGTCAAATATTAATTTCATTAAAAAAATGTATCAATAAAGATTTGCTATTTATATTTATCCACCTCTAAATAAGTTGAAAAGTGATAATCAAACTGGATAACTAAAACTATTATCAAATCCTACATCTACTTTTCTACTAATATAAAAAGTTGATAATTATATTAAATTTGTAAGTTAAAACATCTACGACTATTGACACTTTTTGGCTCTACAGACTATTAATAAATCTCCAGTATTTTATATGTTAAAAGATCACTACATAAGACTATGAGTATACAAAGTAATATATTAAAATAATTAAGAAGTTTAAAAATAAATCAGCTCTTAACTTTTACTCTTCGATTCTGTTATTTCTATTATTATTATTCTTAGGGGCATCAAAATAATATAATACTACTACCTTTCTAGATCTGATTCAACTCAAATTTTGTATATTATGCAATGTACTATTTTGAAAACTATTAATAACTAAATCTAATTTTCAAATTTTAAAATGTAGCCTTACTTAACCTAGCTAACTTTATTGAATTTACATAATTCTATTAAGTTTATTTAGTATGATTATATAGACTTTTCAAGCTAATTTATGATCATTTACTTTACTTTAGCCATAATCTGCGCATACACATCATACTAACGTTACCTGATACAAATAGAGGAGAGTCGTGAAATTGTGTGATAAAGCAAAATTGCAACAGTAAAATATTTTGTTCATTTTGGACCAAAACGTACATGTGCCAGCTGAAAAATAAAGCAAAAAATTAAACTTTGTCAATATTTTTCGTCCGCGCCAGCAGTCTGTGAGTTAAAGCTGTAAAGAGTTTTCCATAAAAAATTATTTAGTATCTTCACAATCCTTTGAATAGAGTCGACATTTTTAGCATAATTTTTAAATTCCCTTTATGATGCAACAAAATTATTTGTGTATGATTTGTGTTCATTTTAACGATTTTGTAAACACATTTTCAATTGTATCACGAACTCGTTTTGATGACAATGGGGATAAGATGTCCCACTTCTAAACAAGCCAATCAGTATCTCACATATAGTTTCATTTTAATTGGAGAATTTGATTTGTTGGTTTGTTTTTTATTTGTTCAGATATTTTTCATAATTTTCCCTGATCCATGACTGTTACACTTTTCCTGAATGACTCACTCCTTACTTCCTATGTACAACTTCTCCCATTTAATGATCTAATCAGACAATGAGATCACTAGTATCAAATTACACCATTAATAATCATAAATCTTTATAAATACAAAAGAAGACACGTTGAATCTTATCATATGTTATTTTTAAATGATTTATAAGCTTCAAATCAAATACAAATTGAATAGTATCATAATTTGTTTGCTAGAATGTTTTAATATAAGAGACCGTGGCGACACGCATAACGGGATTGCTGTTATCTATATCTGTAACAGCAAAAGGGTGCATGTCTAATTTTTATTTTTATTCAGTACTGCATAAATCAATAGTACCAAAAGAAGTAAAGAGAGATTCAGAAGTTACTGTTTTCTGTGATTCTGATCTTGCCGGTGTCCCTGAAAATGGCAGTCCTGAAGGCATTTATGCGTTACATCTGAGTTGGAACAAACAATTCTTTTTAAAGTTCGATACCGAGGTAATTTAGGTAGACTGGATGTCCATATTTTAAAATACGTTTGGTACTTATGTTTTAATTGGTCTTGAAATAATAATCACTAAGAATTGTTAAATAGCAAATGTCATACTTGAATATTACGAACAAAAAGAAGAACATCACATACAAATGTAAACATGGACTTAAAAGTAAACATATATATGTGTGTGTATGTGTGTGTATATGTGTGTGTAAGATTATTTTTCTTGTTATATGTTAGGAAGTTATTAAAACTAACGGAGTAACAAACATAAAACAACATATTTAAAATTGTTTTTAAGAGAATGGATGTATTTGGGTTCAACAGCTATTACAAAAAAACTTAGGATGAACAAAATAGTATACTATGCAGGTGTATGTGAATACTTTTCTGTAGTATTTAAGATATTAAAATAATACAATAATTTCATCAAATTTTTCATTGTAAGTTGTTATTTTTGCATAGTCTCCTTATAGAATTATACCTGGTCCAAACTATCGCTGGCGTACTAGGATTTCTGGAACGTATCCCATAAACGAGTTTGGATTTTTCGATAGGGAAAAATTCAGGCTGGAAATCGATGTGATATATCTCAAACCCGATGACGAAGGCGAGTTTTGCTGCTCTAGCTATATCGTCAAGGACAAGAAAGTACAATTGGCTTCAGAACGTTGTGAGGACTTTATAGGTTGGTTTCTTTTATTAGGATGTGTTTTGTTAGTATCAATGCACTCATTTTTGTAATATTATTGAATACAATTTCAATTTACATAAAACCCTAAAAAAGCTTTAAAAAAAATTTAAAATAATATGTAACATATTGGTATATTTCATTTTTACTCTAAACGTATCAGACAGTTTTTGAACATATACTTTATTCTTTAATTGAAACAAGTGACTAAAATTCATAAGTTTTTCATGCTTTGATCAAATACTTTTGGATTTTTCTTAATGTCCACCAATATTATGTTTTGTCTTATTCGGAGTGTCCTTTTTACTTTCTCGTATATACGAAGTAGGCCTATAGAGAAAGTCTTGTAATCGTGCAAAAAAAAAAAAAATCGAGATTTTTGCAAATCTCGACGATTTACACCTCACTGATACGGAAAAACATAATTTTGCAATCTTGTCCGTATGTCTGTGTCTGTGTGTCTGTCTGTCTGTGTGTCCGTGTGTAAACACGATAACTTGAGTACCGTTACAGCTAGGTTGATGAAATTTCATAAATAAGTATTTTATCAAAATCGTAGATCCGTATCAACTTTCGAGCAATTTCCGATAACCGAAAGTGGTACTTTTTCTACTTTCTATTTTTCAAAAGCCTATAACTTGAGTACTATTTGAGATAGATAAATGAAATTACACATGTAATCTGCGTCTGCGTCTGCGTGTGCGTCTGCGTCTGCGTCTGCGTCTGCGTCTACGTCTACGTCTACGTCTACGTCTACGTCTACATCTACATCTACATCTACATCTACATCTACCTACATATACCTACATATATCTACATATTTCTATCTATATCTATCTATATCTATCTATATCTCTCTCTCTCTCTCTCTCTCTCTCTCTATATATATATATATATATATATATATATATATATATATATATATATATATATATATATATATATATACATATATATATATATATATATATATATATACATATATATATATATATATATATATATATATATATATATATATATATATATAAATCCGTATATATTTGTGTGTATAAATGTATGTTGATGTATTGGATTTTAAATTTAAATTTAAATAAACCGGGAGTGATCTCCCCTAAACTTTCTCGAATATCCTAATATAACACTACGGGGGATGGCTACTCGGGATATTGACTTCTAGACATGATTTTTAATCCATTTTCAATATTCAAACTATTTAAAACGAGAAAAATGACCCGTTGAAGAA